ATATATATATATATATACACACACACACACACACATAGAGAGAGAGAGAGAGAGAGAGTCATTCCTGTGCTTAGAGTCATTTAGTGGAGCCTCACCTCTTGGATAAAGCCCAAACCTCTTACAAAACCTAAAAGGCCCTTCATTGTCTGGCTTCCATGTGGGCCTCCGGCCTTGTCTCCTTCCCCAGCACACATGCGCTGTGTACCCGCAGTTGCTACTTTTACCACATTGAGTTGCCTTTTATGGAGTGGAGTGGGCTTTTGAACTTTTTTTTATTTTTTATTGTTGACACTATTACAGATGTTGTCCATTCCCCGCCCTCTTTGCCCATCTCCACCCAGTGAAGTTTATTAAGGTTGATTACTCTTTTGAATTGCTTTGAATTCCTTGAATGAGCCATGAACAAACCCCTGGTTTTGCATATGATGCTCCAGTCTGCCTAGAAATCTGTTCCTTCTCTCTGACCATTCATTCTGTACGCCTGAGCATAAACATATTCCTAGAAGTCTTCCCTTGCCCCAGAGTCTGACTTAGGGGACCTTCTTGTGTGCTGACCTAATATGTCCATTTATCATATTTTTGGAATCACCATATAGTGTTCTGATTGTTTACTTATATGCATTCCTCTGTTAGTCTGCAAGCTCTGTGAGCACAGGAACCATGGCTCAAGGATCTGAGGGCCCCAGTGCCTGGCACTTGAAAGGCATTCAGTAAATATTTATTGACTAGAAGTGGCAGAAGGCATAAACCCAGACATGCATTGCAATATCCATAAAACCTAAAACCAAACTCAGATTGCATTTGCTCAGATGTAGTGATCTGGGCAAAAAACGTGAGTTGCTTTATTTTTTGTGCAGTCCAGACCAGCCTGTGTGGGAGCCTCTAGGTCACCCTGGGATGGTGCTGGCTCATGGCCTGGGCTGAGAGCCAGAGAAGGGCACCACCAGCTGCTTCTCTTGAGAGATGGAGAAGTTGACAGGGCTTGGGGGAAGGGCTAGAGGTGAGAAAGCGGCATCAGCCTGTAATTCCCAGGGATGGTGGGAATGGTTACTATGGGAACGGAGCTGGGGCAGAACCTCCCTTCTACTCAGGAGCAGGTCCCCACGTGGTCAAGCATCTTTGGGTGCTTGGGCTTGGGGACCTGGCCTTCCTTGATGTTGTTGGGCCTGGGGTTTACAGGATGCCCAGGCTGAGGAGGAGATAAAGCAGGAGATGAACACACTGCAGCAGAAGCTAAATGAGCAGCAGAGTGTGCTGCAGCGTATTGCCGCCCCCAACATGAAGGCCATGGAAAAGCTGGAAAGTGTCCGAGACAAGTTTCAGGAGACCTCGGATGGTAGGATTTCCCCCTTTTACTTGGGCCTAAGATGAAGACAAGAGGCTAGAGGTGTGGCAAGGGCCTATTTATACATCCCAACAGCTCCAGCTTTTATATGCTTTCTTACTTGAAATTTCCAAGAGGTCTAAACAATAGGGGTTGTCACACCTATTTTATGGAGTGGAAAACTGCTGAGGTTCAGAAAGGGTGAATTACCTGCTAAGGTTACACAGCTGGTTGCTGGTAGAGCCCAGGGGAAAATCCATGTTTATGTGGCTCCAAGCCCGTGTTTCTTCCTTTGCACTACGTGGCCAGTCCACTGGTTGTGGGACTGTCTTCCTTGGACTCTCCCTAGGCATTCATCTCTCCCTCTGTGGGATATCCCTGCTCTGTGGATTGTCATTTGCAGGCCATAGTCAGACAGCATGGTCCTCAGCCTTGGCAGAGCCTGGGCACTGAGGAGTCACCTGTCTTTCCCTTGTGGCAGAGTTTGAGGCGGCCCGAAAGCGAGCCAAGAAGGCCAAGCAGGCATTTGAACAGATCAAGAAGGAGCGCTTTGACCGCTTCAATGCTTGTTTTGAATCCGTGGCCACCAATATTGATGAAATCTACAAGGCCCTCTCCCGTAACAGCAGTGCCCAGGTAGGCTGGAGCCCCCTACTCAACCAGCCCCTATCACCCTCAGTTTCCCTTCCTCCTAGGCTTCCTGTCCCCATCCCCATCC